GAATGGCCATCCCACATCATCTTCGGACCAGCTGGCAGGCCAAGTCTGTTTATAGTCAATATTTTATGAGTTTGAATTAATTTGGAAGACATCTCCGCAGCTGCTCGATTCGTGGCCGGGCACGTTTCGGCCCTGTCCATTGTTTGTCAGCCGAGTTTTGCAGTTTGACATATTTCGAGAGTCCACTTTTGCTTGGGACACTGAAAGTTTTTGTACATTTTTCGTTGGCACGGCATTATTAGTTATGCAAATTAATGTGCATGCATGCGTGAATGTGAATGCGAATATTTAATTCCGACTCTGCGATGGAACCTGTGACAAAAGACCCGGATCCGTTCTTTTTACGGCACAACCCGAAACGAGCCATATAAATGAAGGAAGTTGGCAAAGGCACATTTGATGTCAGGGATTTGAAATTGGTTAAGTTTCTCAACGGCAGGGAAAACGTGCTTGAAAATAGTGGAGAACTTATGGCCAAAGTTTTGAGCATTGCAAGTTTTAGTTGAAAGTCTTAAATTTATGTATTGCCGGCATTAATATTTAATTGGCATATTAAGCCAGCTCAACGCCTAATCTCTTTCAACCTAATGACCAACAAAGTTCTTCATGAATCACCTGCCATTCCGAGATGGTTTACTTATGCATGACTCTGATTGCCTTCCTTGTGGCCGTAAACCACACTATCTCACAAGGATATATACATAACATATATATATCGACTGCCCGAATCGTTTATTTTATGCACAAGCACTTCCGAACCGCATAGCAAATTTTATAACAAACATTAATTTTGGTTAATAACTTTATAAGACAAACTAGCCAACTTGGCTGAATCTTCTCCGCCCCAATGCCCACAAACTTTGACTCAACATTTTTCACACAATGTTTGATGTTGTTGGCCGGGTTGGGCAGAGGGGTCGAGCTGGGGCATAAAATAGAATTGGAATAACCATACGATAAGCCCAATTTGTGCGCAGCTTTAGTGGCGCATTAGCCATACATAAAGCAAAGATAGAAGCCGCCATATTTGTGCGTTGATGTGCGTCACTTCCGCTTGTAATTGTAGCTACAATGTCACAATCACTAGACCATATAAACGCAGGCAAGCGGCCAGAAGGACGAGCAGGGGTGGGAGATCGGCCATCTCTCGCACACATAAACAACCGAGATACACCCTCACATGCTGTGGCTTTGTGTGCGCTTTTAAGTGGCTCTGCGTCTTGCCCACTCTAGCGCCATACCACCAAAGCGAAACTTAGATGATGCACTGTGGGATGAAAGTTAGAGTCTGTATATCTGTATATCTGTATATCTGTATAGTAGCTTTTATAGAAAATCACTTATGAAATATAAAATACACTTTATTATTAACATAATCCAATTGACGTAAAAATAACCGAACATTCCTTAAAAACCCTTGTAAGACTCATTAAATTCCAGATACAACTTGGTCCCACTGTTAGTATCCTGGAAACCTCAGCCACGCAGTCCTTGCTCGTACTTGCCACTTTGTAAGTAGCCGCACCGAAGGCACTCGCCCAGCCATATTCGCAACCCAAAGATACTCGGTATGGTATGGGGTGTTTGGTGTGTGTGTATGGGCATGCTGTGCATTGCCTTGGCAATATTTACAAGTCACTTGTTTTTATGCCTACATTAATTATGCGCGCCTCTGACTTTGGTTTTTGGTCGGAACTGGGTGCTCGTCTTTGATTTTGATGCCGTTGCCGCAATTCCTGCTTGGCTTTGGTTTTTCTCTCTGGTGCTGTCAACGATGTGGCTGCCGTTCCTGAGAGAACCACCAAGTTCTCCTTATCCCCAACCACTTTCGTGGCCATATTTTTGCCGGCTTTAGACGTCTTTTGGGTGTGCGGGCTTAAGGCATTTCCAATAAATTTCGACACTCATGTGGAGCTGATGCTGCCACTGGTGCTTTTGCTGCTTCTGTTGGTGAGGAGCCGGTTTTAAACCCTGCTCTTAATTGCTCGACGCTGGAAAGTGTCTTTCGCCTCGGGGCAGCTATCTACAGCTTTCTACAGCTGCTCATAAATGTCAGGTCGAGGTAACAACTGGCTGGCTGCATTAACTGACCCAGTTGTGCCTTCCTTTCGGTGCTCCGTTTTCGTCTTTTAATGACATTATTGCGCACTGAAACGTATAATGCGTCAGTGGGCCCAGGCCCGGGCCCGGACCCGGGTCTGGGTTTTAAGTCCGGGCCTTGTGTTAGCATTCACTTTGAGCCGGGCTGCTGTGACCTTGCCGCGCCTTGATGTGCTCATTTTGAGGCAGACACTGCGTATGCGTGATGTGCGCATCTTGAGGCCTGCAAATAACCTTGTGCTGCAACGGGTTTTGTTGTTCGTGTTAAGCTGTCATTACATATGCCAAAGGCGTTTGCATTTTGGTAGGATTTTACTAAAGCCCAGAGTTGGCTTTGACTTACGATAATTACATTTCACCTCACTGCTTTAATTCAGTTATTAAAATTTAACTTTGTTGGCCTTAATATGCCCTCAGAGTTTTCAATTTCATTTTCCCTCACTAGAAGATGTTTGAATTTGTGAGTACTTTGTGGTGTGGCCTTTGGGGCAAGTTAGCCTCTTATCCTATTTAATAATTAAACTTAATCGAGTTTGATTTGCTGATTTTTTTAAGTTTTTCAGTTTGATTATATTTTTTACTGCTGCTATAAGTTAAGGCTGTCTTTCTTTTAATCAGCACAAAAGGCATTTAACTGCACTTTCCAACTCTCTTTTCTTTACACCCAACCCCATTCATTTCCCATTTAATTTCTTTTCAATACTCCAACACATCTATCTCAGCATTCCGCCCAGCTTTAGATGGATTTTTTGCGTTGCCTACCTAGCGACGCATTTGCATTTCCCACGCCATTCGTCGTTAGGACTGCATTATCCTGGAGCTGGAAAGAAAAAAAAAAAAAGGATCCATTTATCCGCCAGTCTATTTAATATTCAATCGCTGGAATGGTTTGCATCCTCTTTGTTGGCTTAAATAAAAGGCGACATAAATTAGTTTTTATTAAATTCTTCAGTTTAATGCGTTTTATTCGGTTTAATTTTTCTCTTTTCCTTTTTACACTTTGCTTCTGTTATTATCTTTATGCATTTTAATTTTAATTTAACTTAGAAAATTAATTTATAACTAGATTGTGTGTCTTCCCATTGTCCATCTGAATGTTGTTCTCTCTCTCTCTGTGTGTTTTTGTTATCTTTTTAAATGTTTTGCGACCGTTTATGGGCCATTTATTCGGTTTATGCGTATATGTTCTGCCTTGCCTAACAATTAACTTAATGCTAAACATTCTCTTTATATTGTAGTGTATGCCATATAATATTTAAAATTATTCTGCCTGCAGGCAATCCTTTTGTTTAATATACCTTCGAGTGTGTGTGGTGTGTGTGTGTGTGTGTTCTTGGGCTGAGATTTAAACAGTTTGCTAGGCTAAAATGTTTTTGTCTTGTGGTATTTTTCGCTTTGTTAATTTAGTTTCTGCTGCTATATTCCTTTAGGTGCACTTTGCCAACTAACTCACTTGGTGAAAATAAAACTTAATCATTCGCTACATACACAAATCATTCCGAGTACGTGTGTGTCAGTGTGTGTTCTGCAGGTGTTAGTGTTTGCATTGTCCTTAACCCTAATGATTTATTTATGCAATTTACAATATTTCATATTGTGCTTAAATGATTGCTTCTGCCCTCGCTTCCTCATATGCTTTTTAGCTATTGCTAATTGTATGTTTTTAGTTTCTTACACTGCTCAAAATACTTTGCAAGCATTTTCCAATCTCCGTTTTCTTTTTCATTTATGTTACAGTGGAAAAGTCTTGAACACTTTACAGAACATTTACGTTAAAAGGGAAAGCTTGGGCTCTGCTTAAACGATTACTATAGCTACATTTACATACAAGTCTCAAACGGTTGGGGTTATCCTATATTTAGTTAGTTCTTACAATGTTAAGCCGTTCTAATTTACGATATCTACTTTAATGTTACCCGGAAACACTTGTCTTCATGTCTGTTCGATTCGATACAACAAACTTAAGGCGGGAGAATTAAAGTCTGAGGATGGGTATGGGTGTGGGTGTGAGTGTGGAAGGACGAAAGGTTTGCTTAGGACCCAGGGAAAATTCAGTGGAAAATAAATGCGATAAATTATTTAAATGCAACATTGGAGCGGATGTGGCCCGAATTAAAATTTCATAAACTAGAGCACACTACAAAGGGGAAGCCCTTAATGCCACTCGCGATTTTCGGCCGGAATACTCGACTTAGCCCTTTGCTGTGAAAGGTTCAACAGTTCAACAGCCGGGTCCTTGAGATTGGAGTCCTTTGTGTCATGGAGAGCAGGTGTCGCCATGGCGAAAACACATGCCACTTGGCTCTGAAGTGAGCCACCGACTCGGAACCCCGTGAAGTGGATCCTCGAAAGGGGGCTGGGCCTTCCTGGGACTTCCCCGTCGATTGTCAACTAACAACGCCTCCGAGAGACCGACAACTCAATCGACATACAAGCACACATTTAGAAACCCCCCATATGTCTAGTCTAGTAGGCTTGGGATTTCTTTGCCTTCGCTGCCTTCTTTTCTGCCATTGTGCTGCGGGGAAGCTGCTGAAAACTTTATATTAAATGAAAAAGTTTTTCAATTACATCAGCGGAAATAAAATGCTGCCAGCTTGCCACTCGAAGCACGAAGCACGCAGCAAACAGAAACAAACAACGACAAGAGGCTTTTGTTTAGCGGCGACTTTGTTTTTCGGCTTTATTAGGTTAGGTCCGCCTATTGTTCTGCCGAATACCCTGAACGCAAAAAGTCCTGGGAGAAAGTGGTGACTCTTGGAAGGACTTTTGAATTTAGAAAAATTAAAAACATGATTTATGGTTAACTGTTCTGTAAATAGGCGTAAACCAAATGTTATCTTAAATTGAAATTTTCCATTTTTACATGGTTTCTAAAAGAAGGGTAAAACGACCTTGACCTTTCAGAATTTCTTGGTTGATTGGGCTTAAAAATCATATTTTTCGATTTAAGCCAATTTTTTAAAATTTACAGCTAAGGTAAACGTGCAGTAATCCTTTCAAAATTCTGAGAAATCAACATTCATCCTTGGGTATTTGAACTTCGGTTTGCCCGAGATTTTCTCCTTCTGCGCTTCTTTTATTTGGTTTTCTGGGCCTTCTCCTTTTCGGACTCGCATTGCCAGCTCTCTCTTTCTGCCAATTATTAGGTTAAACTTGGGTCTGCCTTTTGTTTGCTTGTTTTTGTATTTTTTTGCGTGCAAACCAACAAACAGAAAAAGGGAAAAGTAAGTAAAATCAGGAGGACGGAAACAAGTGAAGAGTGAACTTAGGCTATGAGTGGTTTGGTGATCAGCCTGGCCATTTACAGAGCCACTGAATCGTCTAAGGCCGCTTCATCCCGGGCTGCTGGCTGCTGGCCGGGTCAAATGTCGCTGGTTTCCTGACCGTCGCCCACGTATCCCTCGTCGGGACTGTCGGCCAAGGGGCCATTAAGCTGTTTGAGTTTCCCGGTATCGGAGCTCTCCTCCTCGCCGCCAGGTGGCACTGCTGACCCGGCAGCCTCTTCGAGACGCGGCGAACTCGCTTCACTTTCATCCAACTCCGGAATGGTGGATGTGGCCGTGGATTGTGTGGTTGCTGCTGATGAGACAACGGGTGGTGGAGGTTGGGCCACCACTGCGGCAGGTGGTGTTGCAACCGATGACTGGCTGGTGGGTGACTGGGCGAAGCGGTAGCCGGGCAAACAGCTGGGCCACTGTTGGAACGGCGCCGGCATCATCGCCAGATCGCTTTTGTAGCCCTCTGGCGGCGAGGGGAACTGATGTTGCTGTTGCAGCTGCAACTGTTGCTGCTGCTGCTGCTGCTGCGGATAACCTTCCGCTGTAAAGCGCACATTGGGCAGCTGGTACTTCTCGTAGCTCACCGTCGGCCCCCTCTGAATGAACTCGGCCTCGAGGCTGTAACGTAAGGTAGGGTTGCCACCACCCACATTTCCGCCTGCCGCTGCCGCCGCCTGAAATTGTTGCTGCTTGTGCAACCTGTTATGTGGCAACGTCCGATAAAAGTTGGCGGCTGGTTGCACCTGTTGCTGCTGCTGTTGTTGCTGTTGCTGCTGCGGTGGCTGCTGCACCAGGTGAGCACTGCTGTAATCGTAGGCAAACGATCCATCCTGGCCCAGGAAACACACCGGATTCAGGTGGACATCAACCTGATGGGGAGCCGGCTTCAGTTGTATGCCACGCGGTAAGGTGGTCATCGCCTGGGCAAAGCGTCCCATCAACGGATGTCCCGGATGTGGGTGCGGATGCCCAGGGTGCTGATGCGGATGTGGAGCAGCAGCCAGCTGATAGCAGCCCTCGTACTGACCGCAATCACTCTGCGTCTCATACTCCCCGGCACCGTCCAAGCTCACCGCCGTCTTAAGCTTGTGCTTCACACTCTCCGCATCGTTGACTAAGTCCGGATTCTTCTCCTGGTAGTTTCTCAGCGATGCAGGGGGAGAGCAGTAGGCTGCCGCCAACCCATGACCATTGCTCAGGAGTAGAGGTGGAGATCCTGGTCCCGTTCCCATCAAGTTAACATTAAGCTGAAGCTGCTGCTGTGCGGGATTCGGAGTGGCGTAGAGCAGGAGGTTTTGTTTCATCTGATTTCCCAGGATTATGCCTCCGCCAGCTGCCCCATTCGCCGCCTTGGTGGGTGTTAGTGTATCGCCCAACAGGAGACCAGCATTTCCGTTTAAGCTATCCCCGCCATCATTTAATATCGAGGCGCACTTCATCATACCCATGCCCGTGTCCTGGGTGCTTCCCGTCGATGAATCCGTGCCACCGGCAATACTCGTTACTTGATCGCACTTCTTGCGCTGCTTGGCTGGCTCCGAGGTCTTCTTGCACTTGACCACAATGGTGCAGAGCAGCACCACGAAGATTATGCCACCTCCCGCACTGCTGGCCACTATGTAGTTCATGTAGTCCCTGGGGAACGAGACCTCATTCACCACCGGAGGCTCCTTGATTATAACTCTCAGAGTGTAGTTACTGAAGGTGGTGCCAGCTATGTTCTGACCCACGCAGGAGAAGGTACCATTATCTTCGGCACCCACGTTGTAAATGAAGATCTCGCTGCGCTTCTCCTCGGCTCCACTTCCTCCGATGGTCTCATCGATATAGTAGTACATGTGCAGATTGTCCATCAGGCTGTCGTTGCTCATCACTTGGCCATTGAAAAGCCACAGGACCTTGGGTTCCGGAATGGCCCTAACCACGCAGGTGATAGACATATTCCGACCTTCGCTCACCTCCGTGTAACTCGATTGGGGACTGACCTCTGGCAAGCAGGCTAACTGCTCCCGCTGCAAGCCCTTGATCACTTGACCTTTCAACCTCGCCGGTTCCATGCACTTGGGCTCCTCGGCCAACGGGATGTTGTAGTTTACCAGCCAGGAGTGGATGTCCAGAAGACGACAGTCACAATTCCACCGATTGCTGTGCAGGCTGATGCCGTGCAGCGATTTGGGCAGTATATGGGGGCCTTGAATGAACCCTATCCGATTGCCATCCAATCGCAACCATTCGAGATTGTCCATGCCCACGAAGGCCTCGTTCTCAATCCTTTCCACCTGGCAGTTCGACAGCTCCAGTGTCGTGAGGAAGGACAGGTGGCGGAAGGCCGATGTCTTCAGCTCCCTGATGGGATTCCCACTGAGCGAGAGGCGCATCAGGGAGCTGTAGTCCTGGAAAGTTTCACTAGGGACATTCTGCAACGCATTCTCGCTGAGATCCAGTTCGACTAAGTTTGTTAGACCCCTAAAGGCCTTCTCATGTATCCGAATCAATTGATTCCTTGATAGATAGATCTTTTGCAGGTTGAGCAGATCCATTCGGAGAAACCGCTCCGATTGCAGGACCTGCAGGGTGTTGCCGCTAAAATTCAGTACCTGAGTGCCCGGATCCATGCCCTCGGGCAGATTGGAGAGCTGCTGGCCGCCGCACTCCACCGTCTGCTTGCCGCCCTTCCATTTGCACACACACACCTCGGGCGGACAGGCCCGAGTTAGGGCTAAAAGTGCGAGCAGCGCTATCAAAAAGTGCAGACCACTCATTGTCTCAAGTGCCTCCTGGCTAGCGTCCTTTTGTTCAGAGATTTTTCTAAGTTTCGTTCTATGGTTCTTGGTAGCACTTGGGTAAATATTCTCACCAGCTGGCTCACGTTGGCATGTCAAATTATGCCGTGGAGTTTTTTCCGCGGGTAAATATTATTAGCCGATCGGAGGCTGTCACGTCTACTCGAGCAGTGTCGGGCCATAAAAGCAGCGCGTCTCCCACTTTAATCGCTATCGGTGGGCCGCCCATCATTGTCCTGTCGCTGGGGCTTTTGTCATGGCTGCCACTTCCGCTTCCACTTCTACTTCTTCTTCAGTGTCCTTTGTATTAATTTCATAAAAATGCCAGGCTCTTGATTTTCGCTTGACAGCGCCCAGAAGTAGGCAATGGGCTCGGGGGCTATTGTCGCCCTTTTGCGGCTTTCTGACTTTCTCCGCACGCCTTTCGCCGTTCCTGCTTCTAGGCTTTCAGTTCTTCTCCTCTCTTTCTCAGCTCTACCCTGGTTTTATCTCCTGGCAACGTTGTTTCACTGCCGGCAGAGAAAGGCTTTTGTCCTTAATGAAATTATAATGTAATGCATTTGCCGCGTGTTCTTGTCGAAGTTGTTTTGTATGTTGTTAAATGCTGGTTTCTGAAAGAAAATTAAAAAAGATATTAAGAAGGGATTAGAAAGAAGGTCTGACTTTATTTATTGTTATAATCTTATGTAATTTTACTAGGAAAATATATCACTGACAGCCATAAAGACCTTAACTAAAATAAAACACAATAAATTTTGTGAAAAGCCATTTTGCAATTTTCGATTAGTCATTCATTATCTCTCTGTCAATGTAAAATTAATTAAAATGCCGCGATCCCACGCGATTGGCGAATTGTAAAATGCGATTAAACTAACGAAAATGTAACTTTCAAATATTTTAGTTTAATCCTTGCAAGCATTATGTATTCTGTGATTACAGTCAAACTAATTTGGCTCTCGTGCGATTAACACACAAATAAATTGAAAATAATTTGGCTCATTATCTGCGTGACATAGACCCATAAATTAAACGCAGCCGAGTGGTAATTTATTCCCAATAATAAGCTCGCCAGCCAGGCAGTTTCTGTGTCTGAGCCGGCTGATTTATTTTTAATAGTTCTCGCAGGCAGCTGCAGTTCGCATTTCAACGAGGCTTCTCAATTATTCGAGTGTTTGTTTTCTTGCATAATGAATCGGATCGAATCGGATCGGTTGGATTTCAGTTGAAAAGCGAATCGAGGGCCACAACAAGCTAATTACGGCACTCTTTTTACTCGAATCGATATCGCTGTTATGTAAATATATATCCCGGCCTGGATAAAAATGAAATGGAAATCGCACTCACAACATTGACACAGCGAGAGTGCGGATTGAGTGGGCATTGTCCAACTTTAATTGGATGGAAATGGATTGGTCGCTTTGTTGATATAATCCCAATAATTTGCTGGCCCCATTAAGGCGCCTCATTATGTTTCCACCTTGTCCCCGCTATTATTTGCTTATTATTCATATTTTTATGAGGGCAGTTCATTAAATTCCCCATGGACCAGCCTGACATTTATATTTGTCAAAATTAATCTAAGTGAAAAACAAAAGGCAGACCTGACCTGCTGAGCAGGAAACGAGAGCCATAAACAATTGAAAATGTCAGGCATAAATCATGCAACATATTGCACGATGGCCGCCTTAGTTAAATAACAGATAAATTACAGGAAAATTAACTTAAATGCAGGTTTATTGTGCGCACCAAGAAATTGCGCTCTACGTGGTAAATAAACATAAAACAAAGCCCTGGATTGCGACTCTGATTCTGGGAACCCAAGATGAGCTGGTCGAACAAAGGCGGCTCCTAAAAAGATTCCACTGCTTCATTAGCTGCCATTTCTCCCACGTCAAATACTATGAACGGACTTGAATTTCACTCGGTTTGGGCTAAATACGAACCGTCTGGCACCAATGCAAATGCGTAATGGATACTCGCCTACGGATTCCAGCAAATTGACTTGATTTGGCAGGCACCTGAAGTCTGTTTTTCGGCCGACAGGACGACATTATTAATAACCGAACATTAATCATGGCCACCTACTTTCTATGGCCTAATGTTGGCCCAGCTGCTTTCGGCTTTCACTCAAATGTATGGTGCTTAGCCTGAAATTGAAGCCGAGATTGTGTGTAATGATACACCGGACAGGTGGGGATCCTTTAGGCCCTGACTTACAAACATTGGCAGTCTGTTAATAAGGTAAATGTAATGACACTGATTAAGAGATAAAGAAGTTTTCATGATAAACTACTGAAAGGTCAGAATATCCATTTTTTACATTTTTTCTAATCGAACTTTAAATATTTTTATTGGTTTTCGCCTAATTGAACAATTCAATAGATATTTCCTGCTGGTTTTCTGTGCGTTTAAGCCCAATCGAAATTTTAATTAAATTTCGGAAATGTCTCTCTGCGCAACTTTCAGCCCAGAGATAAATGGAAAATGTTCTTTCTCATTTGGTTGGCTTGTCAGCAAACATTTTTTGACATTTTCATTTGTCAGTTATGAAGCAGACACGCAGACACATAGACACGAGATAGAAAATCTTGGCTAGCATTTGCGTCTGTGTGTTGAGTGTACACATTTGTTATATCCTTATCACAAAATGATTTGACAGTCGAGACCAAGAGGCAGTTGAACCTCTGCCAGTGTGTGAAGCACTCACTTTCCACCCACCAACTTCCAGCATCCTGGCCAGAAACTTTTTCTATCTTGTGTGATTTAATAAGATGACATGAACGTAGCAGCCTTGGGCAATTTGAGAGATTTGTTCAACTCCTGCCTTCTTCTGCGGCTACTGCTGGAATTATTCCGGGCTAGAAAAATATTTATTTTATTTTTCACATATCCCATGTTTTCACAGGCCCAGGCATTGACACGTCTCCTGCTAAACTGCTGTCATTGAAAATAATTTCAATTTCATTCCGTTAGCTGGATCGAAAAAAAATCAATAGGCATTTACACCAAATTGACCTTTCACTCACGACCAAATGAAAATTTCATAAGGAATTGATTGCGATATCGGGTTGCTCTAAAATCCCTTTGATATATTGACGACTGGTGAGGATTATTTACATGTGAGCATTAACTTTACAACACGACGTATGCATGATAATTAATTGTGTAAATTGAAAGGTTGAGTTCATACCGTCACGATATTTATTAGGTAGCTTTGATTTTTTTACTTCCAGTGGAAGAGCTAATTACGCGAAGTGTTTTTCCAGGTTGGCATTTGTCGGGGGTTCTATATAAAGAGATATATACATTGGAATTATCCCTAATAAATATCCCTAATTACTTTTAGTAGTGAACAGTTTTTGTACAATAAATAATAGCTTATTCTATCTGTAAGCCATTTTTAAACAATACTTAATAACCTTGTATAACAACCGATATAAATTTAAGTTAGCCGATTTAGGTAAGTAGTCAGTGTCTCTAAAACCGCACAGTTTAATGACCTAGACCACCTAATAAGCCTAAACCTAATTAAAAACTTATCAGCAGCTGCGTTAAAATGGCAATTTTCCAATTTGCTTGTTGCCGTCGGCAACGTGAGGCCAGACAACGCCCAGGAACTTAAAGCGGATACTTCGAAGGGCTGAAAATTGCATTTGTTAAATTTAAGAACTAAACTTGAACTAAAATTCCGTAGGCATTTTAAAGCCCGAAACCCGGAATTAGTCATGCAGTTGTGGGAAAACTTCAAAGGGGCGCTGCGAACATGTCATAACATGTGGAAATTAAAATTTACATCACAACTTAAGCGACGTCCTGCCACAGGACCCCGTCCCGTCGAGATCCGTTTTTTCTCGTGTTTTTGCGCTGCTCCTTTTTGGCAGGCAGAGCACTTAATTTGGCACATTGCCGTGCATATTCTGGCAGCGAGACGACGACAACAATCCGCCCAGGTGCAGCCACAGTGGCGACAACAAGCAGCATTTTGTTGTAGAATGCATAAATTTTTTACAACCTGCCAAAGGAGACCCAACCAAACTGTGATGTCATCTGCAGCTTTCTAGGATAGCTAGAATATTCGACAAGAGGAGAGTGTTACCTGGGTTATATAGTAACCGATACTCTTTGATAGCCATAACAAATATTAATACTTATTTTCCATTTTACCTTGCATATGAAACTCATTAAAAAAGCAGTCACATTTATGATTCCCTTTACACATAATAGATATTAAAGCACTTAACTCTTTTTACAGATTTATTTTTTAAGCCCCACATTTGGCTCGAAAAAAGCTGGTTTTTCATCACCTACAGCATCAGCAACAAAAATCGCGGCAATGGTCATAAAACTTATACCTTCGCTGCGAATTACGAGCCCGCAACTAGCCGCAGCAACAACGCCATCGAGAAATGGGCGAGGAGGGCGTGGCGGCAAATAAAATTACGCATGCAATGGCAAAATAAAATATGCATCAAAAATAAGCTGCAGCTGAATCCGAGAGGTGCAAAAAATGCCATAGCTTACAGCAAAAAATATTTATATAAAAGTAAATAAAAGAGCCAGGACTTTTGGGTTCGTTAAGCTCTCTGCGAGCTGAGCAGGGCTGGGCGGGTAGATAAAGAGTCCATGGACAGAGTTGGTAATGCAGTTGCATAACTTAAATATTTTATATGTATCCCATAGAGATCTTAGAACTGTTTGCTATCCTTGTGTGCAATTAATTCCTGCATTTTTTTCGAGGGCATCCCGGTTTCGGCTTGACATTAAGTATTCGACCCGCGTTGCCGCTGTTTTATGTTAATTTCCACTTTACGCTTGCCAACACAAATACAAACAATATGAATATGAATGTAATCCAAACAAGCGTTGTGAGAATTTTCACTTAAAAGACCTTTTTTTTTTATATATTTTTCCCATGTTTTCTTGTGGCAGCTGCTGCTGCTGCCCTAAAAGCTTTAAGAGCCTTGCGCCAGCCGCACGAAGCGTATAAAAAATCAACTAATTTTCATTTTATGCTGCAGCAGAAACAATTTTAATTCAAGTGCGCCAGTGGCAGTGGCATGAACACACGCCCACACTCCCACACGCCCCTTCACTAACAGCCTCTAAAATTTTAATAGCTCACACATTATAAACGCAAATAAACGCCTCAGCCGGCATTCCTTTGAGCACTTTCGTCCTGCTGCCATTTCGCATTTCGATGTACATTTGCCTAGCAGCTTAGGTTGTTTGTGGCATGTGCACTTAGAGAAAGGAACACAATTCAAAGGGGCGGCGGAATCAGGAGGAAAAGTATGAAAAGGAGGAAAGTTTTCCGAGAGTTTCCCAGCGTCCAGCGCTCACTTAAGGGCATTTCCCCTCTCTGACCCCCTCTAGCCAGCACCTTAAAGGCACTAAAGTTGCACAGAATTAAGCATACTTCCAGGCACTCAGCGGCATATTATGTTTATCATTATGTTTATACTATGGATATGTGTGTGTGTGTGTGTGTGCCCTAATGTTGCCGTTTTCTTGGCCAACAGCAGCTGCTGCCCCGGCAAAGTTCATTTCGGCCTTAAGGTGAGTGGCAAGGGGAAATCATAGCAATGCACAAACTTTTTAATTGCTTTTAAAGTTTCGCAAATATGCCAAAGTGTTTTCGCTATCGAAAACAAATGCTGGAGGGGACATTTTTTATTTTGAATAAATTATTACCAAAAAATACTAAGAACAAAACTTAATAAAATGAGTGAGTTTATGCAGTTTGGCTTCCGTTCGTATGCTGTTTATTAACTTTTATGTACTCTTATATGCAGCTTAATTGCTTTTTAATATAAGGAAAACTTTTCTCGAAAACAACAGCTGCCAAAGGGAAACTGTGCAGCTCACCAAGGAATAAATTTGTTTTTCATAATGTTTGTTTTCGCTTTTGCTTTAGGAAATATCGGCAATACAAATTGCTTCCGGAAGTTTTGTGTTATATTAAAATATATATTATTTATGCTCTTACAGGGTTATTTTAAAATTAATTATGGCTTATTAACATAAAAAAAAAAAAGGTTTTTACTCCGGGCTAATCAGCATTCATTCTTTTATCGTAAATACATATGCTGCGTATTTTTATTTCGCCTTTCATGACCATTGAAAATGCTGCAAAATCCTCCTCTTTTTGTCTCGTCTTTTTATTGCCCTTGCGTAATGTTTAATTATACGCTGGCTGATGACGTCCTGATAGCTTTTCCTGCTTTCCTCGTATTTTTTCTTTTTTGGCGCATAAACATAACGCAGTTTATATTTTATTTATTTTTCCCTTTTCTTTTTGCCTTTTTTGCTGCTCATTTTCGGTAGGGGAAAAGCCGCCTAAAAACCAATCATAAAAAACCCTGCCGTAACGGAGCTTCAACCAAACGGTTTTATGACATTTTCCTGTGACAGCGAAACCCTACCAAAGCCACGCCCGCCGACGCCCACCCTAGCCATCCACACATGCGGCTGGGTAATTTGCCATAAAAAATTGGAGCACAGGCTCGTATTTGTGCAATTTCACAGAAATTGTCAATTTGCACTCCCCCAAAGTCTAAGCCGGAATGATGATGACGAGGAATGTCAGCGGCTGATGGGCCAAAAAGGAAGGGTCTTATCGTAGGGAAGGGTTTGCCGGGGGCTTTCCTCTTTTTTTTTACAAGTAGATAAGAAAGAAGCACGCAAATACGCGTTGATATTTTTATGTGTCTGCTGTGTGCATTGGAAAATCGACTGTTAACATTTAACGCTGCGAATTTAACCACATTTATGTGTTCTTTTCGGTCTCCCCGGCTTTATTTGATTCTCATTTAATTTCACACACTGGCTCTGGCCCTTAAAAATTGGCATAACAATTACGCCGGAAATAGGCAATGACAGTAGAGTACGCCGGAGGTGGAGATGGGGGCCCTGTAAATGCCGGACTCCGAAGGGAGTCCGCTCGGGAGGCGACTATTTGCTATCTGCAGTGCACTAACAATGGGCTGCCTCAATGGCACGTAATTGCAGTGCACACAATCGTAGCTGGAACAGTGGGGCAAATTGATGTTATTGCGACAAAGATTAATCATTTAATTTTTAAAAAAAGACTAAAGTCTAAAGAGTTTGCTTATAAATTGTAAGCCCTTTGGTAATTTATACTGTAAAAGCCCCGCGAACTCTTAGCTTTAAGCACCTTCAGTAACAATCTCGTACCACTGTAACCCCAACTATTGTACGGCAGTGCAACATATCCTTGCAACTAACGCTTCCGTTTCCGAGCGTCAAGGAGACGGCTCCGACTCGTTCTCCTCGACTTGCCACTGATGTTGTTGCAACCTTCTGCAGGATGCCTCTTCAGACCGCCTTTGTTGTCGCTTGCCGTGTGAATGAGTGCAATTAGCAGTGCCACTTGCTCTCAACGATGCCGTTTTTGTTTGTGTCCGGCTCTGGTGCTGATCTTTCGAGCGACTTGCATTAAAAATTAGTTGTCCCTCGTCTGTGGACATGGCTCCATCTAGCTGTCAATGTTTTCGGGTCGTGATTGCGCAGCACCAAAGTCGATTAAACAAGAAAATTGTTGAACACGAAGTGGACATGGCTCTCAGAGTCTTGTAAGTTAGCGAAATATTTGTACTTTCCATTAAGAGTTAGCGATTCTGTTTGTGCTTGAATGTGCCATAAATATATGGAAATAAAATGCGTTGAAATATCCAGCTTAAGTCCACGGCTTGCTTCTTTAAGAAGGATTAGCGGGACCCTTTTTTGAATTCCTGTATTGGGATTTCTTTGGGCTGAGCAATTTTTGATTAAAATTACATTCGTTGCGGCCTTTGAAGTGTTGGGACTCGGCTTTGGACGTCTGCGCCCACTCCGTAACCCAAATTTCTCTTCCTGTCCTGTCCTTTTTCGTCTTGTTCGGGTCAATATTTTGCCAGCTTAGGCAACGCACGTGAGCTGGGCCAAAAGGACTGTGTTTGGATGAAAAATCCTGTGCCCGAACTGTAGATGGTCACGTTCTCGTTGCCTTCTCTGCGGGATTTCGTACCTTTTTTGTGGACTGCTGCCGGACCGGCCTTTGGGTGGCCAGCATAATTTGCTGGCACTGGCCACGTTAAGGTCCGGCACCGGTCTCGTCCTGATGGATTGTTTGACTAATTAATTTTGCTAGAAAATTTCTCAAAATTGCATTTGGCCCGGGCCAAAGTTATTAAATTTTTAATGGATGCTTAAAGGGCCGAAGGCGCTTTATGTGTTTTTATTTCGCCTCGGCCGGCAACCAGCTGTTTAGCATTTAAAGTGATTTTCATTTGGATTTTTCCTTAATGCTATTATGTTCCGTTTCGCTTTTCCCTCCTTTCGCTTCCTTTTGCTCTCGGCTCTCAATTATTTAGCCATTGACAATTAGAGACTTTCGCAGATGCCGCCGCACCTAATGCGATTTCGCCTCATTATTCTCAACAATTGTTCATTTCCAGCGATTTTCTTGGGGAATTAAATTTGATTCATCGAATTCCTTTGGCCCCATTATCGAAGACTTCTTTTTGTGGTCGAGTGTCGCTCTCCAAATCGCTTGAAAGGAAAGCAGTCTGTAGTTACTGGTCTGTACAGATTCGTTTTATGATATTAACACAACTTTGCTTTTATGGTCAAGCATTTAAATTTTCCAGTTTTAAGAAACTGAAAATTCCACATTCGAAATGGATAACTGTCGACGTGCTGGAAAGCGAATCTGCCTCACTTATATACTCTCATTTCTGCTGCTTTCGGCGTTTTTCTACTACTTAATGGTCCACAACAGCAGGAATAATATGGGAATATTGCGACTGCGTGAGGACGTAGATGATATATCGGTGAGTCAGTGAACTTAACTGACCCAGACAACCTACTAACCCCATATACTACCCCCAGCATCTGCTACGTCAGCAGCAAATAGAAAGCAAAGAAGCCCAAACGAACAAGTTCAACTGTCTTGGAGGAGAGCCCAAGGGAATGGGATCTGGCAGGTTTGATAGCCCGGAATTGACCGCTTATTTGGACAATCTATTCAAACGCAAGATCGGGCATTTAATGGACGATGTGTACAACCTGAAGAAGAATATTATGAGCTCCGAGTGCTCCGCCCGAAGTGCCCAATCGCAAGCCCAATCCAGTCCCAAGTCTGAGTCCGGCTCGGTGACAAAGCCTCGTATAAACTACGCTTCCGAGGAACTTGGCGCCAGGATCATCGAAGTGAAAGCACAACCCATTCATGGCACCAACATAATCAAGACATTTCTGGGGTTGGATTTCAGCGCCAATCCGCCGGTGAATATGATTCGCCCAGGACTATCGCCAGGTGCCTGTTTTGCATTTAATGGTAGTAAGGCAATGGTGACCCTTCACCTGGCCAAAACTATAGTCGTGGAAGCCATCTCCCTGACCCACGTGGCTCGTGAAATGACGCCCAGTTTGTGTGTGAAGAATGCTCCCAAGGGCTTTGATGTTTATGTGAGTTTATATCTTTTCTTTATTTTGATCTTAAGTAACACCCACTTTCGCCAGGGTCTTCCCACGGCGAATTGCAAAAAGGAGTTGTTGGGACAGTGGTCCTACGATAACGCGGCCAACAAGCGCACTCAGACGTACAGTGCGCACAGCAGTTGTTTCTTTAGAAATCTGTTAATCTCGTTTAACTCTAATCACGGTGCGAATTCCACGTGCATATATCGGTAAATATTAATTAACTAATTCATTATTTTGAAAATACTTTAAATTCTCTTTTCCTTACAGCGTTGAAGTTTTTGGAAGACTGCAGTCTTGATTTATTGTTACTTTTATTTATATATTTAGCTTATGTATTATTTTTGATTGAAAAATATATTACTATTATTTTGTTGATTATTAAATATTCTAAAAAAATACATGATTTATAAACAAAAATATCAAAAAGCGATTTTTAATAAACTGCATTACCTAAAATTTTCCTAACAAGCTTACCGAAACCCCAAAAGTAAATTTATCAAAAATCCCCATTAAGGTAATGGAAAGTTAGACCTTGCTATTTTTGGCAACCAGTTGCCAAAGCATTCCCCTGCTAAACGGTGCAACTAATTTCAATTTCGCAGCACGGACAGCCTGGAAAATTTTGGGATCCCCAAAGACCTGTCGCATCCGCTTTGATCTTTCGCGAATGCTGTGTTTTCGTTTAATTTCGCTCCAATGCTGAATGCTGTGGGGTAAACATGGCATAAAAAATGCCGCTCAGGGACGAGAAAAGCGGCCCAAATAAGAGAGAGAAAAAAATAAACGAGGATGCAAAGTAACTCGGGACCCGTGTGGCGGTACCGAAGTCAACCGTTTGATCTGCGTCGTGTCACATTGTCACATTGCCCCGAGACTAATTAGCGATTGTTGGGCGGAGGTATACCATGCGTGAGGGACACGCCCAAGCCCTGCACATGCGTTTAATTAGTCGACAATATGCTCAGATGTCATCTGAGATTTACACGGCGTTCGATAGGGAATTTCGTAGCCAGCCCAGGGAGCCATCTGCCCAGAATTGTTTCATTTGATTTCGTTTCGTTTGATTTGATTTAATGCGATTCCATTTGTGACTTACTCGGAATCGGAATTCGTTTTCGTAATTTGCAATTGTGTGTATTCCGTGTACAAACACACTCACACTCACACACATGAACCGGAGGACATGAGCACAAAAGTCTGATTGTCTAAATGTGAATGTCGGTCGGTGTGTGGGTGTGTGTGTTAGATGTGCTTGATTTTGTTTGTGCAAAAATTTATTTCCTTTTTTCTTCGTGGCGGAACGGGTATGGAGAATTTGTAATGAATTTGGATAAATCAGGACAATTTTCCAAAACTTGCGCTGAAAAATTAACCAAAACTTTTTTTAAAATTTGTATTTGTGGGTCTTGTGTATATAACCAAAAATTGGTATGTTTATATGTTTTCTAAAATGTCAAATTATTTTTAGCATATGTCTTTGAAGAATATCTTTGTAGATATATGACTTGATTAGTATTTTTACCATAGCACATCCAAAAATGGTTCAAATATGGAATGTCATATCTCGTAGGGCTCGCAATTTGATTGCTATGATTCCTTGTTGGCTTGCACTCAAATCTGGAAAACTTAAATTTTTGGCATTTTTTTGAAAATTTTGATGAGGGTACCCCTTATGAAAAATGCGAAAATTTTGCAGATAAATTAATTTCTCTAAATCGGATAACGAGTGGTAGGGGTAGTAAGTTTTGGTCATTAGCAGCACAAAACAGACGTTCTTTTGGCTGTGCGTCTTGTTTTGACCGAGCTAGAGCATCTGAACGTAGTATTTTAAATTTCTGTTAAAACTAGGTTTCTTGATTTTTCAGCCATTAAATCAGAGCTCGCACCTAAAAATGAGAGCTATAATGATAAAAGCAAATATAGGAGCCGTTAGTTTCGGTAGTTAGCTGCATAAAACAGTCATTCTTTTAGCCATGCTGCTTGTTTTGACAAAGTTAGAGCTGAGAAACTTGAACATAGCCGGGCTTTCTGCTGTCTACAGAAGTAACCTAATTTTGGGCCAAAAAAAAAAAAATTTTGCCATAGCACAGCCAAAATTGGTCCAAATGAGGAATGTAATACCTCGTTGGGCTCGTAATTTGATTGCTATGATTCCTAATTGGTTTGCACTCAAATCTGGGAAAATTCAATTTTTCCCATTTTTAGCAAATTTTGATGAGGGTACCCCTTATAAGAAGTGCGAAATTTCGGCAAAAATTTAATTTCACAAAATCGAAAAACGAGTGATAGGGGCGGTAAGTGTTGGTCGTAAGCAGCACAAAATTGTCATTCTTTTGGCTTTAAGTCTTGTTTTTACCAATCTAGAGCTACAAAACATTTTCCCGATTTGCAGGCATTAAATCAGAGCCTCAACCAAAAAATTAGAACAAAAATAATAAAAGCAAGTATAGCAGCTTTTACTTTCGGTAGTTAGCTGCATAAAATACTCACTTTTTTAGCCGTGCGTCTTGTTTTGACAAAGTCAAAGCTTAAAAACTACAAAAAGTTAGTGTATTTAACGGCTCGTTCTTCCTCGGCTTTATTATTTCCATTTTCTTTTTCGTCGCCAGCGCAATTGTGGCTTGTTTACACGGCAGCCATCGTTTCGTTTCACTCTGCGGTCTGCGCTCTAATTGCGCCTCGGCAATATATCAGAGCCAACCTCCCCTTGTGCCACGCCCCTCACACAATCACCTGCCTCACACCCACATACATTCATGTATGTAGATAGCTCTCCACTTTGGTTTTTTTTCAGCTTTTTGCGCTTTTTCTTAGCCAGCTGCTGCCGTTTTGCCATTTGCTTACGCGTTAAAGCTGACAGGTAAAATGGATTTGTTACGGCAATAGAACAGGTAGCTGTGTGGTTGGAGACGAGGAAGGCGGGGATCTTGTGAGAGCTGACTAGAAAATGCATGACAGGTGAGAAGATAACCCATGTGGTCGTGGAGGTACAGCTGGAAAATAGCTTGGTACATATCTGAGAGTATTTTGAGAATACTTCCTTTAGGTATAGTAAAGGTCTATGCCCCGGTTAAGTATGGATATCGATTAAAGACAAAAATATGAACATTCGTAAATTGTTTATTTTCTTCTTTATCTTTCGGAGAAAGTTTTCACTCTTTTGGAAATGAAGCTTTTTAGCAGACGAAGTTGAGAAAGACTTTTGTCCAAATCGAAAAACACATTTGAATAATGAGAGCGTTGAGAGCTGCCGCAGTTATGCCGAGTGCTTTGTTGCATTGTTACTAGCTGGGAAACGGGCAAAAGTGGGAAAACTGGGGAAAAGTGGTAAACTGGCAGTTGGCAGGCAGGCAGCAGCTGCTCCTGTCTGACGTCCTGTCCCCTGACAGCCTTCCACTGTCTGCTGCTGTTGGCCACTGACATTTTGGGATTTCTGGCTCGAAATTTTGAGTTGCCCAACCGGTTATGTATGCAGCCCGGCTTGGCTTGGCTAACAACCAGAGCAATAATAATGGTAAGCACTTGCTGTCGGAGTCGAAAAGTTTTTGAGTTTGTGCTAATTATGCCGCCAGGAGTTGGGCATTTTCAATGCAAAGACCTCGGAGCTTGGAACTCGGAATACCAAATTCGGAATACGGACTGGCAGCTAATTTTTGCCAGCTGTCAGCGCTCTCCATATAAATCCCTCAAAGTCAACAGCACTGCACCCACGTGACACATCAATTCGCATTCTTGTCTGTCGGTGGCAAGCACACGCACACGCATGGAGACAGGCACACGCACATATGTGAGTCCATACATATCCATCATATTGCAATCGTCGGTTATGTCGCCGCATGCAACGTCGCTTATCGCTCAGCTCTGTAATGATGGCAACAGACCCAGAAACAGACCCCGCGAAAGTCCCCTCATCTTCTTCCTCAACCCAGACCATCATATCCCATCCCATCCCATCCAGAGCTATCCATCCATCTCCTCGAACTGCTGTTGTACATTTTTCATAACGCAATTCATGTTATTCATGTGCCTGCGACAAGTCTTCGTGGATCCCCTTGGATCCAACTTTGTAGGAGTTGCACAGTGGTCGGGGATTGGCAGTTGTCTGACAGCCGAATTGATTACTTTTCTGACTAGGCGGTTTAACCCGTTTCGGGAAATGCAGTTGTCTGTGCAGGGGATTAAATATCTATGAAATCTTTAAGATTATCAGTATCTTCAGAAACTGGGAATGTTTTAAACTCATTAGGATGTATGGTATGAAGAGGTTCAGAATTTCTTTGGCTTTTTGTTTGACGAAAAGTGATTTCTTAAATCTTTAATATTATAATTCATTTGAAAAACTTTACTGACTAAGCTTTAGTAGATAAACACAGAAAACATTAAAGATATAAGGAAACAAAATGTATTTTTTACGTTCTATTTTATGAGCCATAAAGATTTGAAGAAGATTTCGTTTTTAAAGTTTAGGTACTAAAAATATTTTTCACATCGCTCCTAACTTAAAGACTGCAGCAATATCTTGAATTTTTCAACGATTCCTCCCATTATTCCGGAGCAGTAGTAAAGTAATCAATTTAATATCTGCCCATTTCCACTTAATGCTTCCACATTTCGGATATTTATGTCGGCAGACTATTACATGCGCTCGCCCACTGTGCGATGTCATAAAAATTGTCTCATTAATCATCACACGACATGCTGTCTCTGCCCCCTTTACCATATACGAGCTTGTATATATCCCCCCGATTTCTTGCTTTCTTGTTCGTGATGTTGCCCCCAACTCAAGGGGCTATTTCTGTGCTGTTTGCAGGAAACACAGACTTAGTGTGAAAATCCAGCGAGCAATTAAATTGGCTCCCCCATTTTAATTTCCATTTCCATTTCCCAGATTCTGTTTCAGATGCAGCCCCTCGAACAAGTGCAGGCAGCATAAATCAAAGGAGTTGGCCCTTCGCGGCCATTGGGAGTTTTATTTTTACTGGCGTGGCATTTTAAATTGTCTGCGCCATATTTAAAATAGCAACTAATTAATTTATTTTTTCACGCCGTGGCCGGGAAGTGCGCATTAATAAACAATTAAGTCGTTTTAATTGCAGTTCGCCCAGAGGATTATAAATTTCCAAGTGAAAATCCCCCAGCACCCTATGTAACCGTAATGAGCCATAGCTCCCAAACTAAATTCGTTTATTATTGATCAGTTTGGGTCATAAGCTGCTTAACTTTGCCTGGTGCCAAGCCACCCATGGAGCTCTTTTCAAGTCTCCCCAGAGTCAGGTGTTCGAGTGCCCGCTGCGAGGCATTTGGCCAATTCCTGGAAAACTTGCTGCTCACTTTGCTAAGCTGAAAATCTGCCATACACTTTTCGCAGCATACATGGTGCATGGGTTTTATAATTAGATTTTTGAAGGATGTTGACCCTAATCATATAATTTTATAATATTCTTACAAGTTTTTCAAAATCAGCAATATTCTGCCCAGGATCTTGGCTTATTAATAACTCAAGCGTACAAATTGAGATGCTTTGTCAGAGGTTCTTGGAATTTTCTTTGACTGAAAGCCCTTTCGGATACATACCTTTCAAGAGGTTTCCTAAAAGAAGGCGAATCTGAAAGTAAAAGACGAGAGAGCTCTGTTTAATAAAATAATTAATTCAAAGAAACGTCATTCTCAATCCATCCAAGCTGACAGTCAGTCTTTTTTCTCTTCCAGCATAAATTCCAGCCATGGCGGAAAATAAACTACATTCGCTGGCATCTTGGCCGAGTTAATATGATGGGACACGTTAAGCAGGCTTGAATGATGTGTATCAAGGACGAAGAGGAAAAACTACCAACTGTGTCAGCAGAAAAGCAGAAACAACAACAGAACAGCAACTCAGTGCAATGTCTGGTTGGAGGGGGGAAAAAAAGGGAAAGGGAAAAAGGACAAGGACGAGCGGAAAACCAAATGGGAATGACGATAGACATTGAACACGAAAAGGGAAAATGGAGCGAAGACATTAGCCTGAAATGACAGCAACAAGATGCGAGATAGACACTTGGCTTATATCAGTTCTGGCCTGTCCTGCGGAGGAGGCTTCCGTCACCCTTCTCTTCTCTGCCTGCCACTTGGCTACGAAAACAAAAGCAACTTGCAACCAAAAGGCGTCGAAAGTGCGTGCAACAAATTGAAGCCAACTCGGTGAACAACAAATGCCAATTGACAGACGGCCCTACGACTGCTTTCAATGGAAATTCGGCAGAGCAGAAAGTCCTTGTCTCTCAAAACAGCTGCGAAAACATCAATCGGACAAAAGGCCTAAAATGGGGCTTTATAAGTGCCAAGCTTAAAAAGTATTTGTTTATTTACAGCTTTAATATAGAATTTAGAAAATAATCTAAAAGTTCAGTTTAGTTCATCAAATATTTCGACCTCATTGCGAACCCATTCCAACTTTTCACGCAATGCAGTTCCACTGAGAGTGTGGCAGAGCCGGAGTCTTAGTAAGCAATCTGTAACATGTTGCCAGTTTGAGTTTTCTATTGAAAAGCGCTTTTCTGGCCCAAGGACAGCTGGCTTGGCCCAGATCCTAGCATTCGCATTCAGAGCCACGCACACACACACACACACAGGGACTTATTCATCATTCACTCACTTAGTCAGCGTGCCGCCCAAGGATCGATGGCAAAGGATGGATGTCGGAGGGAAGCAGTTTGGAGGAGGAGCGAAGCCGAAGACGTTGCTCCTCCTTCTTCGAGTTCCAATTCCACTTGCCGGGAAAAACACAACGCCGCCAGCTGGCATAGGGCTTTTATTTCCCATTTCTGGCTGAATCCTAAGTGCAGATAGAGAAATGCCTTTCATGCCGCTGCTTTAGTTTAAATATTTATGTAAGCGCGGCATTTTATGAGAAATATTTTGCAATTACTCCGCAGGGCTTTAGTCGAGTATTTTGCTTTTATTATTATTGGAATAGGCCCGGTCTAGGCAAAAACGAATTTATGCCAAGAATTTTTCTCTTTGGCAAACTGCACTTTGGCAATGAAGTTAGTTTTTGCCTTACATTCTAGTTATGGGATTTCAAGAAAATTATGCAGCTTATCATTTAAGTTGAGTTTCTAAAGCCATGTTGCAGGACTTTCCATTGAAATACATAAAATTTTAGTATTCTCTGTGTACTCAGGGCATTTTAGTAGTTAGAAATTGTGATTAGATATGGCAGGCTATGATACTTCTAAGGAAACAAAAGCTGTAATTGAAATCTCCAAGCACTTTCTCCACATTTCAGTTGCAAACAACATTCCACATCCAAATTCAAATCTATTTATATCAATTTACTCACTTCAGTGCCAACCTGACAGACAATTTCCAGCAGAGACCCCAGACTCAGATCTCGTGGTTGAGCAATTTTTCAACAGATAAAATCAAGACCAAACAAATCAAATCAAATGCAGACAACGGCACAAAAATGTTACACCCAGAAAAGACACCCACACAACCAACCAACACACGTGGCAATGGCAATAGCTATGGCAGTGGCAGTTTCAGTGGCAACTAAAGAACAGTAGAACAGAAACAACAATAACAGGCAGCAACAAAAGTAAATTAATAGAAAACAATAACAATTCCCTTTATTATTATTACTGCAGTGAGTCGAGGCGAGGGCAGACATCGAAGTGAAGTTCCCTGGGAAAGATTCGAATTTGTTTCGCCTGCCGTTTGCCGTTTGCCGTTTAACGTTTGGTTTTTTGTTGTTTGCTGTTTGCCGTTAGCTGTTGGTTGTTGGCTGTTTGTTTGTTGTTTGTTATTTGTTGTTCGGTAAATGCCCAAGTTTCTGGGCTTCTGAAGTGTCTGTGCTTGTGCATGTGATTTACTCAAAGGTATGTAAGTAAAATACAAATCATGTTCAACGCTCGGCCTTGCCCCGAAAAGTGTGCTAGCACACTCTTTGACGTTGGCCCACGGGGCGTATGCGTGTTGGGGGAATATCTGAGGTTTGTCCTGGCAAATGGTTGAGTTTCACCCGCACTCCCTCCGTGCATTTTTCTTTCTTTCTTTTATAAACTCAACAATAGAGACCAAGAAATCAGGCTGAGTGAAAAAAAAAAACACGGAATGGCAAACGCAAACCGAAAATACCCTAACCGATTCCTTGAATTATTGCTGAAAATTTTAGGTGAGTCTACGAAATCTCTTTCAAAGTTCAAGAGATCTCTGGCATGCCTGATTCTCTAGAATATTTAAAACTACATTTTGTTGCATATAAAAACTTTTTAGCTATCTTTAACTTTGGGAAACTGGCACGCATTTAAAAAGTTTAATGATGATTAAAGAAAAAATAAATAAATATGTATTTAGTATACGAGGGATATGTATTTCTTGTTACGGGCAACGGGCGTGGCAAAGTTTTTAGAAAAACTTATCACACTCTCAGCAAGAGTACAAACTGGAGAAAGAAAATATCACAACAAGCAAAGTGGGATAAAAGTCTCTCGGGAGAAACTTTTTCCAGGTGTTTGTTAGAGTGAGTGAGTATCTGTGTGCGCCTAAAAGTGTGCATGTGTTTTTGTGGCATTACGTGCATTGCATGTCGAATGTTTGTAACAAAGTCTAAAAAACATCAAGCACAAAAACATGGAGCAGCGGCAACTTTATCTGAAGTACAACATTCTCCAACCTCTGCTCAGGCATTTCATGTTATTTTGCTGCCTGATTGGTGGGCCGACGTCGTCGTCGGTTGTTTTTGGCCAGATTTCACCTGCTTTAAGCCGAAAACGAAACTCTTGTTGATGCCACGCATGCTGTTTTCTTGCTCGACTTTTATTTATTTATTTTAGTTTTTTTTTTTTGGTCGGGCTGGTTGTGTCGTGTTTTGGCCACCTTGCAAATGGCTTGCCAATGATTTTTAATGCGATTTCCGAAGCAAAAGAAAACATCACAACCTGCACTTACACCCAGCCAGGACACGAGCCCATTTGAGCGGCTTTGGCAACCTTTTTTAAGTGGCTGGCCAATGAAAAGGGCATGGTTTCGGTTTCGGTTTCAGTTTCCGTTTCCCGTTTCCCGTCCCTGTTTCCGAGATAATGTCCGTGTGGGTGCGTGCAAGTGACTTTATTTAATGCCATTAACGCAAATTGAAAGTTTTACGCTTTCCCAACGGCCGTTGCATGCGCAATTGAGTTTTTCGGGTCTCTGGCTCGTAATGCCCTCTTTATGACGTTCCATCGCATGGAAATGGCTCTGCATATTCACAATTTTTAGGCACGACCCCGGAGAAAATCCTTTTGGCCATTGAATGCGTTGTGTAATTCACTTCGCCTCTCATTATCCACACACATACTCGTTACGAAAATCCGCACACGAATCGGCAAGCCGTGTGTCATGCGAAAATGGAAAAACTAGCCGGAGTCTTTTATGGTTTCTATAGCCACTCTATGGCTTAAAACCCAAGGACGAGATCTGGCTTTATTGCCAACACTTTGTCGCGACTGTGGAGAACCCATTACAACTACTTAGAGCATGTAAATAAAGCAGAAATAAGCCAAGGCGAGTGACGAGCAGGTAACCAGCATAAGAACAAGCCTCAAGCGAGATATTTTCTACAGCCACCCAACCACCCAACCATCACCCACTCACGCCCACTTGCACCACCCTGCAGAGCATTAACATAATCGTTATGGTTATGCGCGACGTGTGCATAATGGCAGCGTGGGAGGAAGATAAAGCAGAGAATAGAGATAAAGACAGATATAGAGGAAGCGAAAGAGACAGGGGCACGGACAACGACAGCGACACGAGGATAAACTATGTTAAGTGCGCTGACATTGTGATATATAGTTGGTTTTGCTGCTCTTAAGTGGGAGAGAGGTATGACTGCATCTCGTGTACAAGCTCTCTTTGATTATTTCATTATTTAATTTAAGTTAACTATTAACAGAGGAAGGTCCTCCCTTTCTATAGGTTTCTTTAAGGAAATATAAGCTATGTTCTTAAAGGTATATAGATATATATATTTTACCAATCCATCAATTCTAGCTCTTAAAGAAAAAGGTTAAAAAAAGGTATTACCTCTTCGGCATTAGCAAATGTTATTTTGTCAGTGCGTAGTAATTTTTCTTGTTTTCTTTGTCTTTTCCCCCATTGTTTTCTTTTTCTTTCTGGCTAGTTACCAGCGAAGAGGGCGTTTCGGGCTTTAAAGTTGGTTGCTAGCGTTTTGAGGCGCCGTTGCCAGGTGTGCATATCAAGTAGCCGCCACGTCTGCCGTGGGACAAAGCCATGTGGCATACTTTTCGGGCACAGGCCATTAGCAAACAAGCACAAAAGTACGAAACACAAGAAGACCGAAAACAAGCACAGACACACGTATGAATATAATAAATTCTCGCACACAAACACGGGAAATCGAGAGCGGATAAAGAGTCAAGCTAGGAAAAAGGAAAACATTATGTAGAAAGGTAAAAGAACTTGTCGGAGGACCTGCTCTATAATATATTTCGAATTCCACACGCATAACTTATGAAATAAAAATTAAAATTCCAATTGCAGACTTTAATAATAAAACACTTTTAAGGTCTGCTGCGTCCTATTTTGCTGTTTCTTTAGCCACAGAAATTCCTTTGATGAAGAGG